CGGCCCGGTGTGAGGTGAGTGTTGGGGCTGGGATGTGGGTAGGTGTTGTGTAGGGATGGGATTGTGTGAGCTACTTAATGAGAGGCGGCACCACAAGCGCATCGTCAGTGTTGCTGCGTCGCGAACACCCGCTAACTGTCCGGGACTGCTTATTTCGGTACTCTCCCTCAGAGCCAACTTAGTTGATACTCTTTAGGATGCCCGCTTATTCGCAGCTGACCTACCCACTAGGGTAGGCCGTTCGCTATCCGCAACCTGCGACCCGTCCGGTGGCCTCAGCTAGGCCCCCTCTGAGCCACCTCAAAGCCCAATAGGATCATCGGAGAGGTCAAAGTTAAAAAAAAAAAAAAAAATATGATATTTTGACAATGTTTGTATGGAAGCTATACCTTATATCGCTCTGATCGGACTGATTTTTGTATATGATTTAAAATATAAGAATATAAATCTTCTCCAAAAATTTCAACTCAATTGGTTAATATTTAATTTTTTCTTCCGCTGGGTCAATATTTTTGAAAAAGCGTTACAAACATGTGATATTAAAAATCATTTTTCTTAAGTATATGACCATGAAATAATAAATTTAGTATAGACTTTCGTTTTAAAATTTAGCAACAAAAAGAAATAAAAACGAGAAGGAACGTGTGAGTCGCTTCTAAAGACGCGACTCTACTTATACCCGTACTCAGTCAGTATTTACATTTTTGAACATATGATTTTTTAGAATTTTAAAATTAAAACAAAAAAAAATTTTACATTTTACATTTTTTTGCTACATCTGTTATCTACATCTACATCTACAATGTATATTCTACATCTAACATGTGTATTGTACATGTACCATTTAGATTCTACATCTCCTCCGCTAGGGGTTGTTCGCGCACTGAACGCCGCAGGGTGTGCGAGCGAGAAGGAAAATGAGTTGCGTTGTCGTCGGCAGGATTGGGCAGGGGAAGCAACTGAAAATGAATTTCTTCATTCTGGCTATAATTATGATCCGATCTGATCAAATTTGGCAGTCTATTAGTTATGGGCATTCTCTACGATAATGCGTTTTTAGTTTTATCGTATCTTTAAAAATGTGCCTGCCACAGATTTTCGTCCTTTGTGTGGGCGGAAGGGGGCGGGGCGAAATTTTGAAATACACTTGTAGCAGTGTGATATCACATGAGTGTGGAAACCAAATTTGGTTGCCCTAGCTCTTATAGTCTCTGAGATCTAGGCGCTCAACAAGACGGACGGACAGACAGACAGACAGACAGACGGACAGACAGACATGGCTATATCGACTCGGTTATTGATGCTGATCAAGAATATATATACTTTGTCGTGTCGGAAACGTTTCCTTCTCTGCGTTACACACATCCACTTTTACCACAAATCTAATATACCCATTGACTCTTTTTTGGGTACGGGTCTAAAAAGTCATCTGCATACTGAAATGGAAAACAATTTTCATCATTTATAGAATGAAAATCTGATGTATGGATATGTTATAGACGGCTTTTTTTTGAAGGAGCCATTAGCCGACAGGGCTGGAGAAGGAGAGGAGACAGCAGCCTCTGTTGTGGATCCTGGGAGGCTGTAACAGGGTTGCAAGGAGGGAGCAAGGTGGCAAGGCTGGAGAAGAAAAAACGAGGCCGTGAAGGTTAGATTGCGAGGGTCAGTTTCCGGGAGAGATCAAAGCAGGCCACATGTGCCTATAAAAAAAGAGAAGAGTTAGAGAACCGAATTAAATAAGACAGTGGCGAGAAAATCACAGCGGCAACAGTATCTTCAGGAGGCAAATTCGGCAGAGGGACCAAAACCCGGCCCCGACAATTGAAGCCAGGAGACGCCGACGGCGCAGGAAGGAGGAGACGACTGCAGCGGACATGGCAGACCCCAGGCCGGAGAGCCACGAGACGAGGACTGCGGGCCGCACGGATCCGCCCATCGACAGACGGCAGCCTGATCCGCAACAATCAGCCTGATCCGCAACAACTCGCCTGTTCCACCACATCACACAGTCATACACACATCACTCACAAATCACACTTCACCGAACCCGCACGTACGTATACCCCATAACACAAAATAAAACCGAATTAACACCCTGCACTCATCAATCACATTCCTAGCTAGTACCCCACATATCCCTTTACACAAACGCCGATTCACGTATATTCATTTTTCTCCCGAAGACACTCTTTACCAACAAAACAAAAAATATGGAGAGTAGAGATCTGCAATAGAATAAAGAAGAAGAAAATATAGTAAAACAGATCATTTTTGTTCGTTTCAAAATGTAAACGCAGGCTATTTCCCTCCCGAACGACACACCCCTCCCCGATCCATTTTTATATAATCCAACTTACGTATGCAACTTACTAACAAGAGCTCTTTTTAGTTCAATATTATTTATTGCATTCATTTTTTTTCAGATTGTTAACGTTTTGTGGTTTTCGATAAAAAAAAGAGGCTGCCAAGTCGGGTGAAATAGGTTTCGTATGTCATTTTTATACGCGTACTCAAAAAAGAGTTAAGGGGTATATTGTATTTGTGGTAAAAGTGGATGTGTGCAACGCTCAGAAGGAAAAGTTTCCGACCCCATAAAGTATATATATTCTTGATCAGCATCAATAGCCGAGTCGATATAGCCGTGTCCGTCTGTCCGTCTGTCCGTCCGTCCGTCTGTCCGTCTGTCCGTCTCGATGAGCGCCTGGATCTCAGAGACTATAAGAGCTAAAGAAACCAAATTTGGTTTCCGGACTCATGTGATATCACACTGCTACAAGTGTATTTCAAAATTTCACCCCGCTCCCTTCCGCCTCCACAAAGGATGAAAATCTGTGGCAGGCACAGTTTTGAAGATACGATACAACTACGCAGTATCGTAGAGAATGCGCATATCTACCAGATTGCCGAGTCTGAATCAGATCTGATCATAATTATAGCCAGAATGAAGAAATTCATTTTCAGTTGCGACTCAAGGGACGGACAACGAACACGAGTTGCTGTACTTAGGAGACGCTGAGGCCGGGGCAATAGGAGGTCAGGGAACCCGTAAGGACCAGGAGATATCCCCGGAAATAAGATCAGCGATAAATGCGGCATTAGTCCAAGCCCATGAGACGTACCGAGCTTCGTTTGGGCAGCAAATGGAGGCGCTAAGGTCATCGGTGCAAGCCGATATGCTAGAGTTCATGCGAGGAATCAACGCCGTAGTAGGCTCGCTAAAAGCGGAACGAACGCCGAGTGATGTGTACGAAAGGAATCGGGGATCGAACGCAGCCAGTCCAGGAAGAGGGGAACCGCAAGCGCCTTCGTACCAAAAAGCACAGCCAACACACCTGTTCGTGGACAACCGCACGTTAGAGTCCGAGCAGAGGTCCCATGCGGAACAGAGACCGGTAGATGATTGGTTGGCAAACACAAGGGGCGCAGGAACAAACCTTAACTGGAGCTGGAGCAAGCTGGAGCAAGTGCAGATTCGTCGATGGGAACTCAGCTTCGATGGCGATCCAAAGGGGATGCCCGTGGCGGAGTTTATCTTCCGGGTAGAGCATTTACAGTCAGTATACCAGGTAGCATGGTCGGATGTTCTGAAAGCCTTCCACACATTGGTAACCGGCCATGCGAGGGATTGGTACTGGATGCACGTGAGGACGGTAGGAGTTCCGGATTGGCCGAACCTGCGATATGGACTACAGCAGCGATTTCAATTGCGGCGAACAGAATTCGAGCGGGAGCAAGAGCTCAGGAAACGCCGACAACGACACGGAGAGTCGACGGATCTGTATATTCAGGAGATGCTAGTGTTGAGGTCCAGGTTGCTGAATCCCTTCTCGGATCACGACCTAATAAAGATTATCAAGGTTAATGTCAGAGACGCAATGTAGCGAGTCATTTACCCGATGCAGATAACCAACATGCAGAAGCTAAGGGAAGAATGTGCAGACACCGAGAAGCTGCTGTCGACGCGATGGGCGAGAAGCGGTCCAGATCATGGGACGAACAGGCGTAGAGAAGACCACAAGGTGTATGAACTTGAGGTAAATAATCACGACCCAGATGAACCGACAGAGGCGCTGGATGCAGTCTATAGGACGAAGGAGTCCGGGGGCGACCGCACGCAGCTGAAGTGCTGGAATTGCGCTCATATTTTGAGTGCGAGTCAGCAGTGCGGAACATTTTCTGATATAAGTGTGGGCTGGCCGGGATAATCCTTCCCAAATGCCCGAAATGTCGGCCGGGAAATGCGAAAAGGAGCGCGACGCAGGAGGAGTCGGGTTCCAAGTCCATAAACAACCAGTAATTCCGTCCTCCAACATTAATTTACGGTCACCTATAGGGGACATACCTAGTATTAAGGATAAAAACATATATAGTACAATCTTTAAGGTAAACCAGGCAGTGCCACCTGAGGCAAAATGGTCGGAGCGTAAGCCGTTAGCAGAAAGGCAGCATCGATACGAGCAGACCCGGAAGAGGATCATGGGAGACGAGGTGGAAGAGATCGCTCGAACAGGTTCAGCCAGAACACAGAGAGCTCGGGTCAGGTTCCAGGCACGCCAGAGGAGGAGACGCGGCATATGTGCATCAATCCGCTCTGCAATGAGCCAAAATGACCGACCATTTGCGCGAGTGAGCCTGGGCTCGATGAAACTTGTGGGTTTGCTGGATACAGGGGCATCTGTCAGCATGCTGGGAAGAGGTGGAAAGGGGTTAATTGACGATTTAGAACTGAAACTTCAAGAGTCCACGAAGTAAAGGAGAAGTTTCGGTCGTTCGATGCACACGGTCTAGGGAGAACGAAGATCGAGAAGCACGAGATACGCCTAGTCGAGGGGGCAGTACCCGTCAAGGAGCGCTTCTATCCGGTATCCCCGGCAGTGCATGAGTTGTTGTTTGCGGAGGTTGATGAGATGCTGCGCCTAGGAGTCATCGAACTCAGCGAAAGTCCGTGGAGCAATCGGGTGACGCTAGTGAGAAAGCCGGGAAAAAACCGATTATGTTTGGATGCGCGGAAGCTGAACAGGCTAACAATCAAGGATGCTTACCCACTGCAGAGCATCGAATCGATCCTGAGCCGGGTTGAGGACACCGTGTTCATCAGCAGCATTGACTTGAAGCACGCCTTTTGGCAGATAGAGCTGGAGCCCGAAAGTCGAACGTATACAGCATTTGCGGTGCCAGGGAGACCACTCTATCAATTTAAGTCGATGCCGTTCGGATTGTGCAACGCAGCACAGCGTCTGTGTCGATTAATGGACCGCGTGATTCCCCAGCGACTACGAAGCCATGTCTTCGTATATTTGGATGACCTGCTAGTCATTTCCCGGACGTTCGAGGAACACATGAAGCTGTTGGAGGATGTGGCAAAGTGTCTCAATGAGGCGAATTTGACAATCGGGAAAAAAAAAGAAGTCGAGGTACCTACGGGACCGATCCGGAAAAGGTACAGACGATCACGCAGATACCGATGCCGATGAACGTGCGATAAATTCGGAGATTTTTGGGGACAGCCGGCTGGTATCGCCAGTTTATTCGAAATTTCTCGGCATTATCAGCTCCTCTCACAGACTGCCTGAAAGGGAAAGGTTCATTTAAGCTGACGGTAGAAGCGAGCGAGTCGTTCGAGAAGCTAAAAAAATCACTTACCAGCGCTCCCTTGTTACGCCACCCGGACTTTAAGAAACACTTTTTTATCCAGTGTGATGGGAGCCACGTGGGGATTGGAGCAGTTCTCTTCCAGGAGGGAGCGGAACACCCGATCGCGTTTTTTTCGGCGAAGTTGAGAGGCGCGCAACTGAATTACAGCGTTCCTGAAAAAGAGTGTTTAGATGCGGTGAAGGCAATAGAGAAGTTCCGGGCTTACGTAGAGCTGATGCCATTCACGGTGATAACGGATCACGCAAGCTTGCAGTGGCTGATGAAGTTCAAGGCGCTGGATGGGAGACTAGCTAGATGGTCATTAGCTCTCCAGGCGTATGACTTCGAGATAGAGCACCGCAAGGGGAAGGACAACGTTGTCGCGGATATGCTCTCTCGTCCGTTTGACGTAGAGGCGATCGACTTCCTGGACTCTGACACCACAGCATTCGAAGACAAGGAATACCTGGGGAGGATAGAGACAGTCCAGCATGATAGGGACAACTTTCCAGTCCTGAAGGTGGAGGATGGCCTGCTGTTTAGGCGTACACAATTTGCCCGGCCAGAGTTGGAGGAGTTCCAGTGGAAGCTGTGGATTCCAGAAGCACTGACGAGCACGCTGATCCAGGAGGCACACGATAGCGACGTGGCAATGCATGGAGGTATCGCGAGGACACTGGGACGCCTACAGCAGTATTACTATTGGCCCCGTATGACAGTACAGGTGAAGGCGTACGTGACCGGCTGTGAAACCTGTAGGGAGACAAAGCACTCAACGCAGATTAAACGTCCACTCATGGGGGCGGAAACAGTAACCGAGAGGCCGATCCAGAAGCTTTATCTTGATTTTTTGGGTCCATATCTTAGGACGAGAAGCGGGAATGTGGTCATACTGATAGTCCTCGACCACATGTCGAAATATATTTGGCTAAAGGCCATGTCGAAGGCCACTTCCATAGTCGCAATCCGATTCCTACGAGAAGAGGTCTTCCCACAGTTTGGAGTGCCCGAAACGGTACACACCGATAATGGCAAGCAGTTTGTGTCGGCGGAATTCACACAATTCCTGAACAAGAGGAGATCGGGAAACTATGCCCCTCAGGCAAACGCAGCAGAACGCGTAAACCAGACAGTCCTGGCAGCCATCCAGACATACGTAAGCGACGATCATACGCGCTGGGATGAGAAGCTCACGGAGATACAGTGTGCGGCCAGGAGTGCGATACACACAGGCATCGGCACGTCACCCTACTTCGTGCTGTTCGGACAGCACATGTTCACCAGCGGGCGGGACTACAAACTATCACGGAGGCTGGGAGCCCTGAACGATGCGCAAGTATCACTCGAGGCAAGACAAGACCAGCAGGAGATCATCCGCGATGAGGTCCGGAAGAATTCGCATGAGGCCTACAAGAAATCGAAGGAGCGGTATGATCGAAAGGCAAGAGATATCCGGTACTTACCTGGACAGGAAGTGTATGAGCGGAATTTCATATTAAGCAATTTTAAAAACAATAGCAATGACAAGTTTAGTCCGAAGTATGGAAAGTGCAGAGTGGTCCGGAGCTTAGGAAACAGCTTATATGAACTGGAGACACTGCAAGGGGCACGGATAGGAGTGTTCCATGCTAAAGATCTAAAGCAGTAGCCCGGTCATATAAGTCGGTAGAGCGTGAGACGAGGGTGTGGGCGATAGCCTACATTTGGGCTGATAAGATCCGGAAGCCGCCTTGGTTTTGCACTCCCGTTTCGACGGCAGGACCTTTAAATGGGAGTGTGGTGCTTAAAAGGTTTTTTTCTGAAGGAGCCATTAGCCGACATGGCTGGAGAAGGAGAGGAGACAGCGGCCTCTGTTGTGGATCCTGGGAGGCTGTAACAGGGTTGCAAGGAGGGAGCAAGGTGGCAAGGCTGGAGAAGAAAAAACGAGGCCGTGAAGGTTAGATTGCGAGGGTCAGTTTCCGGGAGAGATCAAAGCAGGCCACATGTGCCTATAAAAAAAAGAGAAGAGTTAGAGAACCGAATTAAATAAGACAGTGGCGAGAAACTCACAACGGCAACAGTATCTTCAGGAGGCAAATTCGGCAGCGGGACCAAAACCCGGCCCCGACAATTGAAGCCAGGAGACGACGACGGCGCAGGAAGGAGGAGACGACTCATACACACATCACTCACAAATCACACTCCACCGAACCCGCACGTATACCCCATAACACAAAATAAAACCGAATTAACACCCTGCACTCATCAATCATATTCCTAGCTAGTACCCCACATATCCCTTTACACAAACGCCGCAAATATGGAGAGTAGAGATCTGCAATAGAATAAAGAAGAAGAAAATATAGTAAACATAAAAAAATCCCTCCCGAACGGCACACCCCTCCCCGATCCATTTTTATATAATCCAACTTACGTATGCAACTTACTAACAAGAGCTCTTTTTAGTTTAAGATTATTTATTGCATTCATTTTTTTTCAGTTTGTTTACGTTTTGTGGTTTTTGATAAAAAAAAAGGGGCTGCCAAGTCGGGTGAAATAGGGTTCGTATGTCATTTTTTTTTTTTAATACTAGAATTCCTTTTATGTTAGTATATATTTTCGTTATTTGAGTTTAGTAACAGTATAAAATGTTATAGGAGATAAGTAGATTTAGTTAAAATAATAAAACATAAATTTAGAAGAACATTGAAAGGAATTATGATGGAGTAGAGACCTGAGGGTAGGTGGGACGAAAGAGAGAGAGAGGAAAACCAGCCGAGATTAATTTGCGAGCGCTCACCATATAAAACGGGACGCTCATGGAAGGGAGGGCCTCGCCATGGTCAATGACATCCACTGACCCCGCCGAAGAGAGTGCCAACGAGGACGAGTTCCGAATGTTTGTTGGATTTGTCCATTGTGTGTTAATATATAATTTTTGTTAAATCCGTCCCCTGGTATATCGGGGCGGAAACACCCCTGACTTACCCGAGAGCTAGCTGGGAGCGATTTACCAGGGCGGCAAAAAGGCGGATCATAACAGATATTAAAAAGTATTGGGCCAAGGCAGCTACCTTGACACACACCCTTGTGAACAGTTTTTTCCTGTTTGCCGCATTTTAAAACCCTTTTCTCCAAAAAACTAATTATAAACCTAATATAGTCTATGTCAAACTCAAAATCTATTAGCTTCCGACACAGCAGAGGTATGTTGACTGCGTCAAATGCCTTGCTTATATCCAAAACCGCTGCAACAACCTGAAAGCCTTTGGCTTTGAGATTGGCTACATTATTTATTACATCATTTATGATGTGTGCAGTGGAGTGGTTTTTTCTTAAGGCATAAGATCTATTGGGCAGTAGATTGTGCCTATTTATAAAAGATTCCATACGAATCTTTATCATACCCTCCAAGCTTTTAAATAAAACACTTAGGAGGCAGATATGTCTGTTGTTTGAGACTATGGAGGCGTCTACATTTTTTTTTGGTACAGGAATAACCATTATTATTCGCCAACTATTCGGAATAATTCCACTGAAGAAAATTTCGTTTAATAATGAGAGAAGGTTTTCTTGTTGGTCCAAGGGAAGAGAGAGTAGCATTTTATAAGATATATTATCTATTCCTTTGGCCGAGTCGGGATTTCTGGATTTTAGAAAAAATAAAAGTTTATCTAAGTTAAAATTAGTTCTAGTTAGTGAAAGGTCCCATCGCTCTGGAATGGTAGTATGCTCCCAAGAGTTAGTGTTGGGTATGTCTGCAATTTGCTTAAGAAAATCTTGATGTTCAACATCATTTCAAGTACTTTTTGTTGGCTTGATTTGTTTATATAACTTAAGACTTTTAATTTTTTGCCACATTTCTTTTGGAGATGATGGATTTGAAATTGCAGCTTAAATATATTAAAATGCGTCCGTAAAGAGTTTAGTTTTGTAATATTTTTGTCTCTTAGCATTTCTTAATCTAAAAAGTCTTTCACTCGCCTCGTCCCAGTATTTATTAGGAATATAATTGTTATTTACAGATAATTTTATGGTATTATTTGAGATTATTTTTTTGGTTGAATTATTTAGGTTTTCTAATGTGCTTATTTTTATCTTAGAGAAATCCTCGATTACTCTTTTGTGTAACATTTTATTGCTAGCTTTGATAGAGTAGTTCGAAATATCAATATCTATTGGGAAATGGTTGCTGTTTGAAATTTTGGAGTTTTGAAAGGACCAGTTTATGTTATTATTAGATTTATTTACCATTTCTAGTGCTGAAGAATAATTTAATTTGGGTGAAAAAGTTGGAGAGCCAATATTTATGCAAAAAAAACCTGAATACAATAACGCTCTCTCCAAATAATTACTTCTAGCATTCTGTATGATGTTTCCCCATATGGACGATTTGGCATTAAGGTCGCCCCCTATAAAAGTCAGGCCATTTAACGAAGCTGCTTTAGTAAATAAATTCTTACATCCTGATTCAAAAGTTTAAAGGTTCATTTTGGGGCACAATACACACTAAAAATATTTATGTTTTGGGAGAGATTTTCTGTACTTAGACTTATGACTTCAAGACTTGTATTGCATTTCAAAATTTTAAATTGTAAATTTTTCTTTATATTAATTCCAACACCTCCGTAATCATCCTCCCGCTCTTTACAGATAAAGTTGAAATTTAATATCCAAATTTTAGATATTATGGCAATATCAATGTTATGGTTAATCAAGAAAATTTCTAGTAGATGCTTATTATTATTTTTAGTAATACTTTGAATGTTGTATTGTAGTATTTTCATTTGAGATAGTTAGAATCAATGTAAATAAAAAAAGAATTAAGGAAAATAATAGATAAATAAATTTTACTTAAATCAATTTTACAGTTTGTTTTCAAAACTGTTGTATTTAGTTCCTCTAGGAATTTTCTAGTATCTATATTCATATTATTGTTGTTTGTATCTGTAAGAAAATGGGAGATGTCTAGAGAAAGCTTGTTAAGGCTTTTTTCAGCTGTGTTAAGAGCCGTCTCATGTTGTATATTATTTCTGGATGTTGAGGGAGTGAATCGTTCACTTGGAACATATTCATGCTCTCGTAAAACATTCTGCCAAGCTTTTATTGTGTTTTGTGCATTTAGACTTTCCGTATTTTTATATTTGTTGTTTTAAACAATTTTGTTAAAGGGTTTAAAAGACTGTACAGTCTCTGCCGTGGAAGACATGTTGTTTTGTAACAGTATATTTTCATTTGTCGATTTTTGCCAAAAAGGTTGCGGAAAAGAATCGTGATCAAAAATATTAACTGATTCCGTCTGGCCAAACAGCGCCGGATATCTAATTTTGACCTCCAATCTAGATACATTTTCCACCGTCATACATTTTTGTATAGCATACGCTCTAGCAGGACAAGAAACAGATGTAGCTACATGATTTTCTTTGTAATTTGCACAGATCACATCAGTACAGATAGCTTCTAATGAATGCGAACGTGAACATTTATGACATTTTTGCTCTGCTTGCTTGCAATGTTGAGCAAAATGTCCAAATCTATAGCATCTATAACATTGACTAAAGGGAACATAATGAATCACTGGTACTTTTTTATATAGAACTGCAACTTCTGAAGGAATTTGTGCACCTTTAAATACGAGTTTAACTCTTGAAGTTGGAACAAATAAATCTTTGTTATTCTTATCTCTTGTTTTAATTCTAATCAATTTCTCAATAGGAACCGGAGAGTCGATGTATTCAGCTAATAATTCGTCAGAAATGGATGTTGGTATATTAAAAATTAGACCCGTTTTATAAACGAAATTATTAAAAATTTTAGGTTCATAACCATGATTATTTAAATTAATCATCACAAACTTATTGGCACTCATTGAGTTTTTAAATTCAATTTTGCATCTGCCAAAGCCTATCTTTGACACAGTCAGAACACCGTCAACTTTCAGTTTCATTAATATATAACTAAGATCAATGGGGTTAATGGGAAATCTTTTTGATTCATTTTCTTTGCCAGTAATTTTTCTACATAAACTATGTAGGGTCCCTAGTGTTTGTCATCGTAAAATATATTCACATTTTTTTCTTGAGCTCCGTTTGTTTTCTGTTCCATACTCGTTTTTGTTCCAGAAATTTCTGACGTTTCTGTCGGCATATTTTTTTCTTCACACCTAACCTTAAAATTTTTTGTTACTTGTTCAACATAATTATTTTTTCCACATTCCTGTTTTGATCCAATAGTATCGGTCTCAGTAATCTCCATTTCTTCATATTCGCTACTGAACTTACTGTGATTATCAGATTTTCTTTTAGAAGTTAATCTTGATTTTTCGCTTTAGCATAGTTTGAATCTGAGGCCAGGAGTTTCTCCTTGGCCAGGGAGGCCATCTTGTGTTTTGGTTTGTAACTAATGTTATATTTGCCAATTGCCAGTTTATATTCAAAATCAGAAAAAATATTTGACTTGTTTTTTTTTTGACGCTTAATTATTTTTCTTTTTTTTCACACCAGACTGTTCACCTTCTAGGTTTGATTCTGACTGTCCTTCTCGTTTAATTTGTTTTAATCATGAAATAGAAATGCAATCGAAGCGTTTTTTAAAACTGTGCAAGAAAAGCCCAGCAAATGGCTAATACCTACAGATCATAAGAACTAAGGAAGATTTGTTCAACTTTCTGTTAGCTCCCCGGATCCCTAAAGTTCCGGATTTAAAATCAGTATATTTGTGTGAAATGGTTACCCCATTTGAAAATAGGGAAAATTGCTTCGTTAAATATTTAATTAAATGCCTTTGCAAGGGGTCGTGGCTGGGCTAATCTGAAATTTACGTATTTATACCTTATGAATGTGTTTGTTAATTGTTAGCTAGTTAGCATTTGAAACAAAGAATGGTTTTTTTTTTTGTTTGCTGAATATCGCCACTAATTTTTCGTGTAGTCCAATGCTCGGCCAAATAGGGCCTTTTTTTATGCTGCTAACAATTGTAAATTGGGGAAAAAATTATCGTTTTTAAAAAATTGAATAAAATACAATTGCAACAAATAATTCCTTTTTTTTAAATCATATTTAAAATTTGTTCTTTACATTAAGCAAAAAAATTGTTCTCCTATCTTAAGTAGTTTTTGAGAAAAATGCATTTAACTTTGCCTTTTAAGCACGTTTTTCTTCATTTTTTCAAAAACAGAAAAATGTTCAACTGTTAACAGCAATTATAAATATTACAAATTTGTTGAAAATGATAAAAGTTTGCTTTTGAATAGCTTAGTCAATTCCTAATTGAAGTGTAACAAAAGTTTTCCCAAATTCAACAACACGATATCCGACTTTTGCAACGAGTTTTCGGATGATGAGCTTCCTGCGTATATAATAAATATTTTCAGCGGCGGTGGACGCTCGACGTACCAAAGCTTTCTAACGCATACAGATCAGCTGCCGCTACAGCACTGTGCGTATAAATAGGTCTAAACAAAAAACGCAAAAATATGGGCCGTCATAGTTTCTGTCGAGTTCGGTTCGAGGCACGTCATAAGCCGTACATGACACCAAGAGCCGAACTCCCTTCCGAAGCGATCAGCTCCCAGACCCGAAGCCTTGGGAGCCAATTGCTCAGAAATTTTTTGCAGGCAGTTTTTAGTTGATTTGATGCCACTCTGTGTAATGGGTCGTTTGTCGAGTGGGGCGATGCATCCTAAAAGTAGGCACTGGTCTTACATCGCGATGACCAATAGTATAACAGTTCGACTGTGAAAGGGGAAAACGCAGCTGTGAGCTTTTAAATATACATGGGTGCCACAGAAATCACTTCCGCTGGAAAATCACCTCAATTCCATTCCGCCGTGCCACACACCGCTTTTTCAGCGGAATCAAAATCGCTCACAATTTATCCAGCGATTTGATTAAATACACCCATAAAACGCACCTAAAACGATTCGAATCTTACTCTCCCATAAAGGTTGTTCAATTGGTAGTTAACCCTCATCCAAATAATTTAACATTATACATGTTGAGTTAATAAAATAAGCATTTTAGTAAATCACTATTCAATCCGCTGACTAAATTTTCACTTAACGATTCCGCTCTCAATCCGCTACAGAGCGAGGTGGAAACCTAGGGCGATTCGACTTTCATTTGAACGTAAAGGTGCAAGGTTTGTATTTTCTAATATGTTGCCTTCGTAGTTCTTCGATGGCCAACAGTCTCGGTAAAAGCATTTTAATTAAGTTTACCGTAAAATTCAGATGTGTGTTTAGCAGACAACTGCTAGAGTTGCCGAGTCCATGGTTTTGTTTGACTCGTACGATATGGGATGTTTTTTTTGCTTTGAAATTATAAAAGTACAGCTTTGAAAAATCAATTATTTTATATCATAAACGGAAAAAAATTAAAAACCAATTGTTTTGATATGATAAAACCAATAAAACTGCAAAATGAACCCTATTCGAATTGAATCTTGAAAGGACACCTTTCAACCCTAGCCTTAGTTCGAATTTGGTTTGTGACAATGCTAAGAAAAATGAAATCGCTCGGAATTCTGTGGCACGGCGGAAATTTTTAAGCGGCAATCCCCTGCGCGGTTTCCCATTTCACTAGTGATTTCTGTGGGTCCCCTGATATATTTATTTAAAGCTTACTGAGCTCGAATGCTGCTGGGCGAGGGCAATGACCGAAGATGGCCCGAACGGCAAAAGTGTATTTACAACCAAGAATTAAGGGTATTCCAAAAAAATGAAAAAAAGGGAAAAACAGCTAGTCCAGCACAACGCCCTGAACAAAAACAGGGGACACACTGTCCTGTCAGAACAGCTCATCAAATGTCAGTGGAGGCCTTGTTAGGGCCTTCTAAGTAGTTTTCAAGACTCTTTCTTTTTCTTCTGACGATCGAATCGCTAAGTCACGTTCTCAAGAACGTGTTAGAATATCAACGCGGCTGAAAAAGAAGAGGAAGACCAGCTAGAAATTCCCCAGAACTGGGCCACTATACGGCAAGCAAAGGCTTTTGGAACCAGACACCCAGCCACAACCTTTTTAACTACACGCAATACATTAATTACCGCAGAAAGGCGCCTAGGCTACAGTTTGGAATATAGAGAGAGGAGAAAGCTCTAAATAGAGCGCATCCACTTCAACCGTACGAGAGCTGAGCGCAAAGCTGCAGTAAGCAAGGGAAACTCTAATCAGCAGCAACGCTGCTGCTCCCGCCGGGCTCGTGGAGAGACACCCCCGATCGCTTAAGTGAGCGGAAGTTACCGGAAGTGCGCAAAACCCATCGGCTTATACGTTCCATACCTTGGAATGAGTGATTCAACCAAATAACGTGAACTCTAACCCAAAAATGTTTTTTTTCGGTGTCTGTGCGTGTGGTAGTGAGAGTGGGCAGAGCAAAGAAGAAAAAGAAAATATTGGTTAGGAATTATACCCTGTTATAATTTATATTATTAGTGGAGATATTCCCTGTGGAAAATGTGTAACGGGGCGAAAAGAAAAATGTGCGAAGTGTGGTAACAAGGTGAATCAACGCAAATTAAAGAAAAACGAGAAGGAACGTGTGAGTCGCTTCTGGGGACGCGACTCTACTTATACCCGTACTCAGTCAGTATATACATTTTTAAGCATATGATTTTTTAGAATTTTAGAATAAAAAAAAAAATTTTACATTTTAAATTTTTTTCTACATCTGTTATCTACATCTACAATGTATATTATACATCTAACATTTAGATTATATACGTACCATTTATATTCTACATCTCCTGCGAGCGAGAAAGATAATGAGTAGCGTGTCTCTGAAATGGGCATTCTCTACAATACTGCGTTTTTAGTTTTATCGTATCTTGAAAAGTGGGCGGAAGGGGGCGGGGCGAAAAAGGAGAAAATTCAAGAATTATCATAACCTCCCAGTGTATTGGCTCCGACGGCAGCAGAGGGCTAAGCTCCCCAAAAGCGCCCTGAAAGCTCAATTCGCTCTCTCTATCGTCCCCCTTTACGTTTTTCTTTCGCAGCAACAGGTTGAACCTAAGTCTCGACGAAAGATCTTTCGGCGCTGGACCCGGTTACATATGTATGGTCATGTAATTAAGAATCCACTATAAATTTCCCTGGCCTAAGAGAGTTGGCTTGTGAGGGTGAGAATGAGTGTTATGAGCGCAAGAGCGACGTGAAAAAAAAGAAAAGCTCCGTTTAGGTGAACGACCAGATCGAACATACGATACACCCGGGCGTTAAAAGGGAACCGCAATAAAACAGTTTCAGATTATTTTTGGCCGAGATAATGGGCATGAAGACATATGTGGTACCCCGTACTTACACACATTCTTTTCCATCTGATGTTAGCCTGAATTAATTTGAATATTTTTGTGTGTTTGGGTCTTACTATATTACTGTATATTATATTAGATTGGCATATTCATTTTTTTCTTTATAATCATTTTCCTATACCTATTCCTAGACCTAAGTTGAAGTTGCTTCCCCTATTACTCTCCCGCACTTTAGTGAATTTTCGACGCCTGTAATATTATGAGGAACATATATACATACCTAACTAGGTAGAACATGAAAGTTGGAATTGTTCATTTAGTCAATAAAAATAGCGTTAGTAACATGAATTAAATCTTTTTGGGTTGGACCCATGTCAAAATTTCGTAAAAAATACCGCACAAAAATCATCATTTTTGCATTTCAATGCTTTATATTTCCCAGACGGTAAGCTGAAATCACAAAGTGTTTAGGCTCAACTTCTAGCTGTTTTAATTATCTTTTCAAAATAGCAAAGTTCTTTACAACCAGACGTAGGATACTAGGGTTATGTGAAAACTATTGCTAATAAAAATAAAAATAATACCAGTTTTCAAAAATTCTTTAAAAAAAAGTACTGCCATAGAAAAAAAAATATCATCAAACCATTTCTAAGCCCCAAATCTTTAAGAAAAAGTTCGTTTTGTTTCTTGAGGAAAAATCGTGTTGACTAGTGTAATAGGCCAGAAAATTTTGCGCTCGCCCGGCAAGCTCGAAATCCAAAGTCATTTTTGTCATGCATTTTTTATTTCAAAGTTTTGATTTAAAAACTCAGGAAAATTCGAAAAAAAAATTATTTATTGAGCTTTCATACATTAATTAGGCGCCTTTTGAGGTATCGTTTATTAAAATCTAGGGTAACGGCAAAGAAAATGCCCCCCAAACAAGTACAACAAACGGGAACGTTGCTGGCCACAGCCGGGCTAAAATGGTATCAAAGCAAACGCATTGAACTTGTAATTTTGGTTTTACCAAATGCTTTTAGTGCTTTATCAATTCAGATCTGCTCTTCGAAAGACGACTTAAGTTTAAGAGAGAGTTGTAAAAAATACTTTTACCATATAAGGAGTGTTACAAAAAAGCTTCAAAAGCCACTTACCAACCTAAGAGTACTTATTATTTTGACAAACCAGAAGAGCAAACCACAAAAAAAAACACTTTAAAATAAATTTTAAAAAAAATTGGACAACAAAACAATTTTTTGCCTACATATTTTGAATTCTAGGAACGTAAACCCTTATTTTTTACTCAATCAATAAATCGCTTAACACGAGGTATTCTAGGAACGTAACCCCCGGGTTAAGAGAGGCCCATCTACCAAGTTTTTTAAGCCAAAAAGTAGGCACCGATGCAGCCCATAAAGGTTCAATTTTATGCTCCCGACGCATTAAAGCTTTTGGAGCAAGGTTGTTAAGCGGCCTCTTAGCAAAAAGCCCGAGAGAAAATATTCTCATTATAATTAAGCGTGATTATGTTTAAACCAGTTGAAAAATACCGTGAATATACTTATAATGACGCGCACGCGTACCATTTTCGACCACGAATTTTCAGTCTTTTCAAGCCCACGAATCCCGAGAAGATCTCGGCACTCAAAAGTATGATAAACAGGCAAGGATCTCCCCTGCAATCGAAGTAAATACCTGCTTTTCTTAGGTGTACCGCTAAAAAAAGACGAACAAACTCGACTCGGGTATTTTCGCTTATCAACAAATTGTGAACTTCATAGAGTCGGAATCTTTTACCTGTTACTGTACACTAGCATAAAATGATTCTCCTATAGTCCATGAAACCTAGTAAAACAACAGTTATATTCAGTTAAAGTTCATTGTGGTTAAAAAGGAAAATACGAAAAAGGTAAGAGAAGCACTTTAAATATTAAGTATTTTTAGTTACTAGGATGATGATATTAAACAAATTTCCATGAAAACCACAATTAATCACTTTGGTTTCCACATGTACAATTTTTTTATTCGTAATTTGCATATGATTCTACAGATGAGAGCCAATATTTCATCATTCATTGTTCGACTTAACTTTTGAAACACTAATTGGACATTTTATATTGAAAAGTGTGCTCGCATACGTTAGAAGACACACAATTCTAAATTATATATATGTATACTTACAAAAGTAAGTTACGTTACGAGCATTAGTTGATCATTGCATCTACTTAGATCTAAGTAAACTTATTCTAGAGCTAAAATCGAATTATTAGCTACACGTCACACTCATCAGTTTGTATATTTTAAAATCAGTTGCAATCATTCTGACTTATTAATACACTCGTTTTACGAATTAAACTTACTAAAAGCTTAGAAGTATTGAAAATCGAAGCTATTTTACGCTGAATACAAATTATTACGAATTAGCAGTAACGTACATGCTTAGTTCCGAATTCTGATACCGGCGCATGTAAAAATACTTTCCCAATTCTTTTGCCAAAAAATTTAAATATTAATTTAATCAAGCCTTAATTTTAAATATTGTTAAATAGTTTGAGTTAACTCTATATTTATTTCGCAGGAATGAAAATCGAATGATTTAGTAACCTATTTAATTGTTAAAGAATAAATACCAGGAAGCTTAGCAGAATGCTTGATTTTGTAACTTATTGATTTCAATAAATAATTTTTGTAAATATGCATTAAATATATAATGGCCTTATATAAAACATTTGGACATTATTATTCCGTTGCTTATACAAGTTCTATTTACATGTATGCTCTTCCAGTACCTTTGTACAAACTTCGCACTTAACCTGGCAGCACCAATGGAACTTGCAATTACACCGTTCGTGGACCACAATATTTTTGGTATTATAGCCTCTACCGCAGCAAAGTATAGCACAGCTATCAAGACCCGATGAGCTCTTCTGACAAACTCGCCCATGCGTACCTGATTAAGAAGATAATTAAAATATTTATTTAAATAAACTATTCACAAATATTTACCAGGCCAATGCAGCACATAATTATTTCGACACCAGTCGGGACTTTCATCTATGTAAATAAGGTCGTGCGCTGTGGGTACTTTAAACTGCGAATCTTTGACCTGAAGGCGTCCTCGTTTATTAAGCTTCACTTTAGTTGCCTCTTCGTATTTCTCCCGCAGATAATCACCTGCAAATAGGTAAGTTAAAAAAAAAATTAATATGTACATACATATAATAATTTATATTATATTTTAATATATTTATATTATATTAATTAACAAAATTTTATTGAAATAACTCAAAATTGCGTTGTTCAAAAGTGCGACACTTGAATACACATTACACACTAACAATGAAAATTATTTGTATTGGTTGTGGTCGCGAGCGGATATCGAATAAATTCTCAAAATTCAATCGGGAACGCAGCATCAAAAATACGCGACTCAATGTCGGTTATAAAATTTTAAAATAGTACTCCCAGCTAGTGCCAGAGTAATAAAATAAAGTAAACGTGTTAATTCGAACTTTTAACTTTAAATAAAAAAGGGCCACGTTCAATACAAAACTGACAAAACTGTCCAAACATTTGTATGTCCTCATCCATGCATAGTCAGGTTCAGCATGAGTGTGTGGGCATGAAAAAGCGAGTGGAAGCGTAGCCACTGAAAATGGATTTATTCCTTTTGACTATAATATTGACCCTATCTGAACAAGATTGTACGATTCTGCGTTTTCGGTTTAATCGTACCTTCAAAACTGTGGGCGCAACAGATTTTCGTCCTTTGTGGGGGCGGAATGTGATATCAGCTCCTATTGTCTCTGAGAGCGAGGAGCTCATTAATACTGACTAAAGGACGGATAGACTGGGGAAATGTTCCTCAATTGACGGTATATTTTTTTGAACATGACCGTGCTTACCGACCTGCCTATTAGTGCACATCCTTTGACTATATAATATAAAAAAAAACATTTCCACTCATTTTTAAAGAACTATCGTCACTCTATCCCAGATTATTTGAACGGTAATATTGTTCGACTTTCTTTTAAAAATAGTCCCACCACATTATCTGCCTAAGCCAGACAGGATATAATATGCAATGCTAAAGACGGTATCCCCTCAATGTTAAGCAGGTGCTTATTAACATAAACAACTTAATGTTATACAATGGAACCTGCCCACACTTGGTCTGTGGCATCTGTTGTACCTGTTCCTAAGCCAAATAAACCTACAAATGAGATTGTTAGTTTTAAAATTCTAAAAATTCTAGCTCGTAGACTAATATGGTATCTTGACAGGAACAATATTCTATCCCACAACCAAGTAGGTGGGGGTAAAGTAAAAGCCAGCCAGTAAAAGCCACCGTGAGACGTCGCTCCTTTAGAGTTGGAGTCAATAATATTTACTCTCTTCGAGTTGCACTTCACAATGGCATCCAACAAGGTTCTCCTCTTTCCGTCGTACCGATTACACTAGTCAACACTAGAATTAGCCTGTGGCCCAAAATTTAGATTCTTATAGATTTCGGGGTTTACAAATTTTTAACGAATTATGGTTTTTTATACCCGTACTCAAAAAAGAGTTAAGGGTTATATTAGATTTGTGGTAAAAGTGGATGTGTGTAACGCAGAGAAGGAAACGTTTCCGACCATAAAGTACAGTTGTGTTCAATAAAATAGTAGTGCCGCACCTCATCACTTTCAAAACTCTTTTTGAGACACTTCCAGTTATCCAAATTGAACAAATGATACCTTTTTAAATAGACTGGACTGTTACCATTAGAAAACCGAAGAAATGTCAATTCATTTGAATTCCATTTTCTTGTTTTACATGACATAAGCCGAATACCCATGAAATTTGCTGTTCAATGAAATAGTAGTGTTTTTTTAGAACATTGAAAAAAACAACGAATCTCAAATAAAAACATATATTTCATGTTCTTCATGTTTCTTGAGCTTTAATATTTAGTTTTTAATCAATTTGGTTTTCATTTCGAACTTGCACCGGCCGGCTATGGGTCATTAATCTCTTGCCAACGCTTCAATAGGATTTGAGCCAATACTCCATGAACCACTTGCTAAAACTTGGCTCTGGTTCACGGATTTGCAGTTGCAATAATGTATTTGGTATTCCCCCATAAGATTTCGATGAGATTAATATCCAGTTGGACAGTTGGCCATGGAAAAACGTCGATATTTTCCGATAAAAATCAATTCCTAGCGAGCTTTTTTGGGTGTTTCAAGTCATTATCCGGTTAAAATATCCTTTTTGCAGGAATTTTTTAACTGTAATATGAATGTAATGTATCTAAAGTATGCCTACATCCTCAGGTTCGCTCAAAACCATACTATACTCAAACGCCAGGCCAGAAAGTACTAGCTCATATGAGCTGGGCCCCATAAGGCTCAGCCTAGCATGCCCAATGCTAATTTTTTTATGATTTTAGGTGGTAATCGGATTTCTGTGAATGCCAAACATAATCTTTTGAGTTTATCTTACCATATAATAAAACTTTACTATCTTTAGTCAAAAGTATTTTTGTCACTGTGACACAGGCCATTCCACATGCGTTTTTCCAAACTGAAGTCGTGCACCCATGTAGTCTTAGACCTAAACGCGGTGCTTTCTGGGACTTCTTGCATTCAAATAATGTGTAATCAACCGTCTAAGAACCGTCACATCACTGACAGAGCGAATTAAAATTTTTTTCATAATTTTTGAGGATATTAAAGGCCTGGTCTTGCCTTCGACCATCGCCGACCATCCTCTAAAAAATAAGTTTTTCGCATACAAAATCGATTTCCAGTCTACTTCTTTTAGTTAATTGGGTTAAATACAATAGAGAGAGTGCATAAAACTTAATTTTCAATCTCATTATACCTCCTGCCTTAAGTTTTTAGTCTAACTCTTAGGTCTCCTCTTTTGGACCGAGCAATGATTTCTTCAACGCCTCAAAATCAAAAGTACCGCTATGTCCAAAACTTTCTTTCATCAAATTATTCAATAACCAAATTGAGCTTACGGATGGTGACTTATTTAAATAAATTTGCTTTGCTTTTTCATTTTTTAAAATTAATTGAACCCAACACTACTATTTCATTGAACAGCAGATATCATGGGTAGTTGTCTTAAGTCATATTTAACAAGAAGATAGAATGCAAATGTAATGGGGTTTCTTCAAGTTTCTAATGCTTACACTCCAGGCTTTCCGTAAAGGTATCACTTGTTCAATTTGAAAGACTAGAAATATCTCAAAAAGGGTTTTGAAAGTGATGAGGTGCGGCACTACTATTTCATTGAACACAACTGTATATATATTCTTGATCAGCATCAATAGCCGAGTCGATAGAGCCATGTCTGTCTGTCCGTCTGTCCGTCTGTCAGTCTGACCGTCTGTCCGTCTGTCTGTCTTGTTGAGCGCCTAGATCTCAGAGACTATAAAAGCTAGGGCAACCAAATTTGGTTTCCAGACTCATGTGATATCCCACTGCTACAAGTGTATTTCAAAATTTCGCCCCGCCCCCTTCCGCCCCCACAAAGAACGAAAATCTGTGGCAGGCACATTTCTAAAGATACGATAAAACTAAAAACGCAGTATCGTAGAGAATGCCCATATTTACCAGACTGCTGAATCTGAATCAGATCGGATCATAATTATAGCCAGAATGACGAAATTAATTTTCAGTTGCTTCCCCTGCCCCCTCCAGCCAACGACAACACAACTCATTTTCCATCTCGCTCGCATACTCTGCCGCGTTCAGTGCGCGAGCAACCCCTAGCGGAGGAGATGTAGAATCTAATTGGAACATGTACAATCTACATGTTAGATGTAGAATATACATTGTATATGTAGATGTAGATAACATATGTAGCAAAAAAATGTAATATGTAAAATTTTTTTTTTTTCTAAAATTCTTAAGTTGTGCGAGCGAGATGGAAAATGAGTTGTGATGTCGTTGGCTGGAGTGGGCAGGGGATGCAACTGAAAATTCGTCCTTCTGGCTATAATTATGATCCGATCTGATTCAGATTCAGCAGTCTGGTAAATATGGGCATTCTCTACGATACTGCGTTTTTAGTTTTATCGTATCTTTAAAAATGTGCCTGCCACAGATTTTCGTTCTTTGTGGAGGCGGAAGGGGGCGGGGCGAAATTTTGAAATACACTTGTAGCAGTGCTACATACATGTAGCATACATCAAGCATACATGTAGCTCTTCCAGTACCTTTGTACAAAATTCGTATTTAACCTGGCAGCACCAATGGAACTTGCAATTACACCGTTCGTGGACCACAATATTTTTGGTATTATAGCCTCTACCGCAGCAAAGTATAGCACAGCTCCTCTTTCCGTCGTACCGTTTATAATTGTTTTCGACAAAATTAGTAAAATAATTCTTAGGTATGAAAACATTAGTTTAACAATTTATGCGGACGACGCAATCATAAGATAAATAACATATATAATGTATATAATTTTTTTAAAAGCATACTAAAAGATATTCAGAATATTCAGAACTAATACGTTGATTGCTTGTTCTGGTGAATATTTTGGGTAAACTGAAAAGGATTAGTATGGAAACGATTTACTAGGTATGTAAAACTATAGTTCTGCAATATTTGTGTCGATGTGTTTCTTTCCAATTGTGCCGTGTTTTGTCCATGGGAACTTTCTAGAATGACCTTAACAAATGTAGTTGTGTGTTGTGAATCAGTACTTTTGCATGGAAAAGCGATGCAACAAGTTTTATGTTAGAAATTATTAACCAATGTGTGATGATTTATGAGAAACTAATCCTCTTTGTCCGAATCCACACGATTTCGAGAAAATCCAATTCTAGTGCAATATGTGTATAAATTTGGAGCAACAACAATCGCTTATAGGACGCACTGGCAGGCTACCTTTAGAGACTGCCGAAGTGCTCCATAAAGGAAAGCAAATGCCAGTGCTTTCTGACGCTATGCGATTCAGCTGAAAAGGATCCATGGGGAAAGCACACAAGCTGGTGAAAAGAGGAGGAGGTCCCTTGCCTAATCCAATCACCAAATCTGGCCCACATCGAGGAGTTTACTCTCGAAGAAGTCTCAATCGCAGCCAGGAGCATTAGGCCGAACAAGTCATATGGGACGGATTCTATCCCGAATCGAGCCCTCATACTCGCCCTTTCCCTGCGCCCGGACATCTACGTG